GATAGAAGGGTCCCGTTTATCCTGCCCTTCATCTCAAATGATATAAGTACAGCTATAAAACGCTGCTTAAGAAGGGCGGGTTTGGAGAATTCGGTGAGCGTAGTTGAAATACCACCGAGTAATCTTAAGCGCCAACTAGTTCGTAACCGCCTATATGACCGTCTATGTGCAACTCAAAATTGCATAATTTGCCCCAGTGGAAGAGACGGTGATTGCATGAGCTCGGGTATAGTTTATCTGATCTCCTGTAAGACGTGTGGTAACGAATACATTGGCGAAACGGGTAGACCCCTCTGTGTTCGCATGAAAGAACACCTAGCCGGCAAAAATAGACCAAATACCCCGCTAGGCACGCATAGGACCCAGAGACATAACGGGGACGACTTCGAAGTATGTGTCACGATCCTCGCACGCGAATCAAGAACACAGGCGCGAAAAACTCTCGAGGCACTCTGGATTAATTCCAGAAATCCGAAAATCAACCGCAGGGAGGAATGCCTCATTATCACGCGTGATATAGGGCAGTATATAAAATTGCTTTTCTGATGTGAGGGGCACGTTATACTTCCACGTGATTTCTGTGCGGTTGGTCTGTACGTGACATACTTAGTGGAAACCTCATAGAAGGCGGTGAGTGTGCAAAGCTGTGTTCAAAGTGATTGAAATCTTGGTTTGGAGTTTCTTTGTTTGGTTATGGAGGCGTCTGGCCGAGTGAGTTGCTATCAACTTGACCTTTCCAGGCTCTGAGGAAGGCGAAATCCGCCGAAACGTCAGCTTAATCGTGAACAAAGAATAGTAACACCTCGCATTTGCTCAACAAAAATACGAGGAAAATCACTTGACCAATGCCGAGGTTAATAGAAAGTCGGTCGTGGCAGTTACTGCAAGATGTACCAGAAAAACAAGTTGTTATCACCGGAAATTATCATTATAATCATTATATCCACCATCAGCATCGTGTATAAAAGAGCATCACTGAGTAAGGATGCCTCATTCGAGGAGATCGCTCACTGAAGAAGACCTGACTCGACACGAAGGCGATACTGCCACGTCGGGACGAATAACAAGCGAGGACCATAGACTCGGATCATCGGCTCTGAGGAAGACGAAGACGTCGAAACGTTAGCCGAAAATAAGCATCATTATCAACCTCGTGTAAGCTCATCGAAGAAAGAATACATATTTGCGGAATTATTTGACTGATATATTTAACGGACACTTACCACGTAACAACTTCTGCAAAATTCTACTAAGGGTTCTAAATTTGCACTTGACTACTAAGTGTACCTCTTCATTCCTTATTTAATGATATGTCTTCCTGACCATTGATGGCATTAATTTTTGACCCTCGTATCATAAGTACGGTCACTGACACTGAAGCAACCAAACTGCCCAGTCATCTGGATCGATGGGATGGTGCCACATTTGTTCGTGAAAACTGCAAAAAAGCAGATATTATCTGTTGTGAACACCTGAAATCTTTTAGAAGGGTTATACGATGATTTCAAGGATTCAACGGCTTTCATGATGATGTGAAAACCACGCAGTTGCAGCCGACCATACGCAAGTCTGAAGATCTTTGTAGGTGGTTAAGATGATACAACGAAGAGAGTAAAGCAGTGCCGGAATCTATAGAACTATGGGTCATATAGAAAATTTTTTTGCCAAAATTTGATGAATAATGCATGTATAATTATAATATATGTTTTATTTTTAGGCATTAACAAGTTTACAAAAAAACTACGTAATCCGCATTACATTGATAATAACGAGATTCTGGACTTTTTATCGAGAATACCATGTGACAAAGAATTGGTAAGTGTACAGGTCGTTTCCCAAATACCGTTTTTTGTTAAGTATCCGAAGATGGTGAGGGTGCGTTTGGCGCAGTGGTTGGAGGCGCTACACACACGTAGAATCGATCCCCGCGCACGTCTGGGGATCCCTCTGGGGTCGGCAAAGTGGTATCAGACTTGTCTGGAAGGATAGCAGCATTGGCTCGATACATCGGTAGGCCACCGCGAGTTATTGTAAAGGCCAGATATGCATTCAATCACTTTCAACGATGCTCAGAGAAGTTGAATGCATGGCGCATCCCTCAGGGAATGATCTACGCCAAGAGCTTCATCTTTTTTATTTATCTGAAGAGGGTACCAGCGAAATTTTCATCCGTTTCTGTCACACATCAGAACTTTGCGCATTTGTTAAGGAAAACGAAGAGCATATCATATTTCAAATGAGAATCCCTATTTTCAATTTTTTACTAGTAGATGGTAACGATGGATAGATCGCCGAAATCTCTCAAGGCACAGAGCTACTCTTAACTTGATTTCTTTGCGTGAATATCGAACCTGTTCATAACTCGGGAGATCCACATAGGTGAATTAACCGCCCATTCTATGTCTCTATGACTCTTTCATCAACTATGAACACTTCCTCATTTAGCCAAGGTGAATCATTAAACTATATGGGGAGAAGTCTAGATCTAACTATTTTTGTTTTGGTAACGTTATTTTTCTATGGTCCACTATTATTTGAATTTTAGCATGAATGGAGCGAGTATAAAGTGATTTCCGCTCGATCAAATGGTAAAGAAAGGGAGAAAAAACCAAAATGACTTGCCAGTGGTTGTCGTCTTAATTTGTGTAATAATACGGTAACGTGTAATTGGTGTGTTCTGTGCACAGCGTGTAAAATTGCGGTAAAGTTTTAACATGTGCCATTTTGTGCTTCCATTCACTTGTCGTCTTATTTCTTCTTCTGCAATGCAAAGACTTCCTCGTCATTCCTCGTTTCTTATCACTGTCATTAGTCGCTTATCACGTTTCTAACGAAGCCTATCATTCTTCAGTGTTTTGAAGTCGCGTTTTTCCTTCCCATTTTAACACACTGCTAGCATATTTATCGATTTATTGATTGTGTTAGTGTTATTCTTTCCTGGCTTCTTCTGTTACTCTTGCTCACTTTATTAGGTCCATGTTTCGGGTTTGTTTGTAAATTTTAAAATTTACTGTCAATATTAAAAATATGGAATTATTTCAAATGATATAAAGCGCTGGAAAAATTCTATGGATCCAAGCTGTCGTTGGCAATGAATTATTTTTTCCTTTCTTTCTTTGTGTTTCAACAAAATAACGTTGTGAATATGTGCTTTCTCTCTTTCCTTCTGTTTCTGTTTTTTCTTTCTTTTTGTTCTGCTTTCATTACCCGCTAGTCAGGAGTTTCTAGTTATCATTCTTATTTGTAAATCGATTACAGTTTCAATAGTATTCGACAAACGAGCAGTAAACCTCGGAGGTCAGAGGGCCAGAACGATGGAAGAAGAAGAGTCTCAGTAGCTGTTCATGCCCTGTATATTTATCAAAGATAACGGTTATTCATCCGGAGAACATTTCGCACGTCCTCATTCCGGTAGAGGAAATTTGTCTTCATTTCGTCGTTGTTGCTGAATCGACTTCATAGATGTCTACTGTATTTACCTTTGTTAAGAAGAGTTATTAGATTATTATTTTATCAAAAAATTTCATTCTAATGAAAATTTATAATGAAAGAATCTCCTTGGAAAGTACGTTAACCGCCCGCCATATCACTTGAGTCGTAGTGCTTGACGTTTTCGCTTTCCATAAGAAGAGGTTTGGTATATGGTGCAGATGACGCATTGCGGAGGCGGTAACTGTAATACAAAATCATTACCACGTAGGTGATACCGTAACCAATGATGGCTGTTTGCCAAGAGGTTTTCTGTTTGCAGTATCTAGACAAGATATTGTGCGATTAAGTCCCGTTAAGGTCGTTCTGTGACTCAGAGCTCGTCTATGAATCCGAAACAGATTAACCGCAATTCATGGAGGCGCGACCTCAGCAATTCCTCTAACTCGGCTTTTTTTCCTCGAAGAATTTTATAAAGTTCTAAATCACGTTGTCGGTCCTCACCAGATTTTTGTCTCAAGCCGTTCATTAATGTTGGTCGATTAGGACATGATCCATCAGGTACCTTTGCAGCCGGAATTGTGATGAGTGAGGATGCAGAGTGTAATGAACTCAGCGATGGTAAACTAGATCCGATAGAACTTTGGCTTATCAACCGATTCAGCCGATCGCTAAAATCATGCTGATCACACCCAGGTACTGCAGTAGTTCCACTCCTTTGCCTATCCTTTTGATCGAGAAAGAACTGGTGCTGAGCGATGGCAGTTGTCCAGATGCTCCTGCACAGTGCACTCGATTCACACACGAAAGTGTGCACAGAGACCTTCGTAGAAATCGATTGGCAACGACGAGATGTGGACCCCTGTGTTGTAGGATCACTAGCGCCTTGTGTTAGATCGTCATCCCTTGCTAACGGCTCTCTTAACACATTCAAACCGAAAATCTGCTTCGATCTTGGATCACGAACTTCTATGGAAAATGTGTGGTCTTTGTAATACAAATTATCGAGAAAATTCCAGGAGAAATCTTCTTTGGGTCGTATTGTGTCAACACTCTCGAATACTTGAATTCCTCGACTATTGATTGAAAGTACGCAATGACTGCCGCTCTTTTCATTTACTTGGTACAGTCGACTGCCGTACTTCGAGCACTTCTCCACGATTCTCATCAACGAAATTATTGCAGATCCACGCTGAACACCACGCAAAGCGCTATACTCCGTCAGCACTTGCCTTTCAAATGAATCTTGGTCAAGGTCATGATGACTTAAAAATCGTGGAATAAATGGAGCCAGCAACCGCAAGTGATTTCTTAATGAGATGTCTTTTTCGCAACTGCTGATGCGCTTCAAGGAAAAAAAGTTCTGTGGTTGCAGGATCATCCAGAGAAAATATTGAGTCGACGAAAAACCTAACATTGTGCGATAATCGAATAATAGCCTTGGTAGTCGGAAATTCGTAGTCAAGAAGCTTCTTATCAGCTTGCAGCCAATGATAGTGATCGTGATCATCGACGAAGGCGATTCCGAAGTAGTGCGCATCGCGCTGCGCTATGCGACAGTGGTGAGCAGCCAGCACGAGCACCTCGTCCACACACAGCCGAGCAGCTACGGATATCTCCAGACAGTCGCCATCCAGAAGACTCACGCTGGCCCTTCTGCCTTCATGCATCCAACACTCAAACTTCATGCATCCAACGTGTAATAACAAGGGCTCTGGTTTTACTTTCTGGCTGCTTTGCTGTTCGTGCGTTGCGTTTCAATGGTTTGTTCCGTAATATCTAACCTCTTATTGGTTTGTAAGTTTTTCTTCTCATCTTCCCCTAGAATAAGAAAATACGTCACTGATTTCTGCTGTTAAATAACTCCAATGTAGGTGAGTAACCAGATTTGAAGCGCTGAAAGTTTCTTCTACGAACAGCTATACATCCTTGATGATTATTAATGATTACACACTACATGTCCGATCGCTCAGTATCAGTTTATGAGGATAATAGTAGAACTGGCAGTAGTGATATCCGTCATCACGAGCATAGTGCTGGTTCGATTCCTCTCCGACCAAGCCTCTCATCCCTTAGGGGTCGGGAAATTGGTACCGGATTTGTCTGGGAAAAAAATCAAATCAATCTCTGCAATTTGGGAATGCTCCAGCACGGCTATGTCAGCACTCCAGGGAGAATTGCTCGACCAGCATCCTACGACGTTCAAATTGGAATGGAAATCCTCATGCAGCATGCGAAGCTACACGTAAAAGTTGGAACGTCTTCGTGGGCAGTGGATTCGAGGAAACGAATTGAAAGTGAGAAGTGTCGGGATCGGCACAGAAGACGTGAAGACGGATCAAATAAGATAAAAAAATTTTAAAAAAATAGCACTTATATTCGCTCTGATCGCCATCCCGTCCTCTTCATTATCGTTCCTCTCGTTCAGACAATCTATCAGTGGTGGTGAGGTGCATCACGCCTTTCGTATGAAAGATTTTTTACAAGTCTCGGGAGAATTTTAGATACGGAGCTCTCTCTGTTCTGTTTGCCCTTAACTAGGTTTCTGTATGGGAAGCAAAAGTCGAACGCGTTACTGGATTCACTAACCTTTCGGGGTATGATGAGCCTTCAGAAACATTCTTCTCTCGGATCTATACCATTGAGAGAAAGTTGGTGGACTCTTCAGAATATCTCACAAAGAATTTTAAAAGAAACTAACGCAGCAGCTAATACAAAGATTAGGCGGCTCCTGTGGACATGGGGTAGTTGGTGGCGACGTGCACGGCTGTTCAGCATTACACGCAGTTCGCTCAATAGTGGACCCGATACACTGAAAAATAACACATCTAAACTTTCCAAATGTCTTTGAGAACATACTTCCTTTCGAGAACATTCTTCTTGAATACGACATTACCCCCATTGGGCAGCTGCACTCTCGTGTTCGATACGAAACCCCGCCCGTACCACATGTTACACTGCATCCTGACCATTCAGACCACTGAAATTTGTTTAATAAGCAATCAGTGTTGAAGCATAGAAAGCTCTAAATTTCTGCCAATAATTGATAGCTACGAAGTTCATGTGGTTTCCGCTTGACTTTCAAGTTTTCTGCAGCTTACGAAATTCGATGTCGAAACACATCTATTTAAAGTGAGATGAATGAGAGTAAAAAAAAATAATATAATCATTTCAGTTCTGAAAAAGCTCTTTTAAGATGGAATTGAAGGTAAGCTTTTTCTAAATACGACACATCTGCCACATTGCTGAGCTTTTCTGTTTCTACAGGTTTTGCAATTTTATTTGCATAAGAAGTACAAGAATCATCATAGAAACAGGAGTGGAGGAATAGAAGGTAAAAGGATAAGAAGCATAAAGCTCTCGGCGTTGATCAATCCCTGAAGGATACGCCGTGCATTTCGTTTGGAGGTGATTGAATTCATATCTGGCCAACATTGACTCGTAGTGGCCTGCTGATGTATCAAACCAATGCTGCTATCCTCCCGGACAAGCCTGGTGTACCAGTTTGCAGACCCTGGAGTAAAGTAAGGCTTGATGGGCCATGGGCGCGGAGAATGATTCCACGCGTGTGTTGCAGGGCGCCTACCGACCACTGCGCCACACGCGCCCTTAGATTGAAGGTAACTTCTAAGAATCATACAGCAGCTTTTCTCATAAGGAATACTTATATGGACAAAATGTTCTATCTCTAAATTGAAACGACGGGTTCTCATCGACTAGAACAAAGAAAAATAATTCTTGCAGAATTGCTGCACGTTTGAATTTCTTAGGAGGTGTAGAAAGTTTTACAGTTTTTTGTAGTTGAAAGTTTGTATTGCCAAATTAATGGGCCGATTTCGCAATAATTATTAGTCTCGTTAATAGCTACACTGTAAAATACCTCAGAATATAAAACCTTTTCATCCATTTTCTCATAGTTAGACATGAATTCGTGAGAAGACTTCATCAAACTGGTCTCTTGAAGGCGAGCTACCATGGCATTCACCTTTGACTGAAGCCAGCGAATAAGTGTCATTTTCTCGGCTTAGAAGATATCATCATTATTTAGAATTACCCAAATCTTTAAAGATCTATTTTAATTAGATCAGAAATGAGTTCGCAACCGGTGGGGCCAAAAAGGAGCCATAGCAACGGGTTTTTATTAAACAAACGGGCAAATAAAAGGTAAAGCTCTCGGAGTTGAGTAAGCCCTGAGGGGTGCGCCATGCATTCGACCTCACTAAGCAACACTTGGAGGTGATTGAATGCATGTCTGGCTTTTACAATGACTCGTGGTGGCCTACCGATGTATCGAATTGTGCTAGCATCCTCCCAGGGAAATTTGGTACTAATTTGCCGACCTCGGAAGGGTGGAAGGCTAAGCCTGGGGTGGGAGATCGAACATACATTGCACGGTCCCTGTAACTACTACACTACACGCTACCTTTTTACGATATATATGGGAGGATGTAACATGCGTGGAGGCATTTTGTATACCAAAACAGATAACAAGACCAATGTAAGGCACATCAATACTTTTAATGCAAGCTAAATAATCAAAGTGCATATGAATTAAGTCCTACACTTGAAAATAGATTTGGTTCGGTTTGGCCTAACATTCTTATGGAGAGCAAGAAATCTACATTATAAAAATGACGGGTACCCGTCTTCTAAAAAGTGGGAAATTTTTTACTGAAAGATTTAACGTCTTTTTTGTGATTTGTTATGATTTGAACAAAATTTTGTGATTTTTACACATAATCTTATCAACAAGACCTTTGCCAAAATTAATGACCATGTGGTGTAGTACTACCGTAATGATGTTGAGATATTTGCAAAGCTCTGGACAGTGCCTGCTGTGGAGAACGAGCGCGCTATTACCCTTCCTGGAGGCTAACGCGTTCACCACCACACCGGGCGAGTCCTTCGTTTCGCCTGTCTCTCAACTAGTTTTCTATCGAACAGTGTCATAAGCAATCACCTGTTAACGGGATTGATCAGGGAAGCTCAAATCGGCATTGAACCCAGTTAGGCTGAAGCCGTAGATGAAATCACAATGCTAGCTTTTTATTTGAGGATAAATAATAGTAATAATGATAATGATAATAATAATAATAATAAACTGAGCTAGATTGGACATAGGCGAAACAAAGGACCCGTGTGGTGTGGTGGTGAACGCGTTAGCCACCGGAAAGGTTAATAGCACGTTCGTTCCCCACCGCAGGTGTCTGCGGTGGGGAGTTTTGCAAATACTCAGCATCATTACGGTTGTATTCCACATAGTGCCCTGCCGTGAAAAATTGCAATAGGCAGCAAATAAAACGTTAACACAATGTAATGTATTTGAATAACGTTTGAAGGTGTGAAGTTTGAAATTTAATCACATTGCTGACTGCTAGTTGATTTTAGCAACGTTAACCTACCGGGCCTAGTTCACAACATGGATAACTGTTGCAGGACTGAGTTTCAACGGCAGTACCAAGACACGGGCAGTTTGTACAAACGTTGTTACAAATGCGATGACGGGACTTCGTGCCACCACCGCAAGACACACTTAAAACAAAGCAATTAGAATGGTTAATTTATTGATTGCTGGCTAGTTGTCTTTTCAATTGGTTTTATTTGGTGATTTTAACAGCCTAGCTCTCAATTTAAGTGGGTGGATCCTTTCCAGAAATGTAGCTAAAGGCAGTAGGCAGCCAATACGACACGCCTGGTGATAGAGCAGTCCGCTTTGGAATATAACAACGCTAACGCTTGTTATTTTCCAAAAGCACGAAGCAATGACGGTTCAAAGGCTTAAGTCCCTAGACGCGTATATAACGCAGTGGTTAGAGGTTCCTTGAAATACACTCATAGTCTTTTGTTCGATCACGCGTTCAGGGCTAACGAATTTCAGTACCCTCTAGGATGGGAAGGTAGTACTAGGCCTGAAGACAAAAACCACTGGCTTTATATATCGGTACGCTTGCGGAAGTTATTGTATAGGTCGGATATGCATTGCATAGTCCACATCTCATGTATTCAACGCTGAACCCTTTATACCTTCAATTCCTCTGCTTCTTCCTATACTAGGTAACTTTTTTGTTTACCAAACTAACTGAAGAATTCTATGTGATTTATCTACAATTCTATAAAGGATAAATAAAGATAAACTCTCGGTGTTGATCAATCTTTTTAGGGATGCGCCATGCGTTCGACTTAATTAAGCATCATTTGGAGGGGACTGAATGCATATCTCGCTCTTTACAATGACTCGCGGTGGTCAGCCGATTTATCGACACAGTGCTGCTATCCTCTCAGACAAGTCTGGTACCAATTTGCCTAGCCCGGAGTGATGGAAGACTTGGTGATCCACGGACGCTGAGATCGATCCACTGCACGTGTTGCAAGGCGCCTCCGACCACTGCACCACACGCGCCCTTTATTTGTATACGAATCAAAATTTATTGAAAACAATGGACACAACGAACTAACACTACTTGATTAGCTTTAAGTTAATTTCTTTGAAATAAATGATCAACAATAATTGCCTGCAATCACTCCATGGTCCCCATTCATTCCACTCTGCTTGCATTTGCTGAGATACACATGGTCGAGCTTCACTGAACGATCCACCAGGACATACAATAGTTGAACAAGTCCGAAAGCGCGTCTGCGAGAAGCCTATAAGTAAGAACAAGTTGTAATT